AAAAAAGAGTTGATGAGCGTTACATAAGCAATGTTTAATAGAAGTTTTGAACTGGATAAGCTTTGTGCAGCAGAAAGCTTTGATGATGGTGAAATCGGCATCTGTCTGTTAGAAGTTCTGACTTCCAGCTTGTCCTGGAAAAAAAATGACACGAGCAAATTTCCAGTGGGAGTCCTGATAGGGATTATGTTACTAAACAGTGTACGCTTTAACAGGAATAAAAGCACTCGACGACAGTTCTGACTTGGACTGATGGGTTTTAATAAAGAAATTACACTTGATACAGAGATTTACAGCTGAAGTTTTAAATCAGCAGTTTTCCAAAAGACGTTCAAGGATGAAACAAACCGACAGCTTGGTTCATTAAAGAAACAGACTTGTTATATCACAGTTTCCTGATTCAGAGTTTTGAATCTTATACACTGAAGATCGACTCGGCGATGGTTAAATTAGTATCTTTTCTAATGGAAGTTGTGACTTGCATCTGAAATCAGGTGGAAACAGCTGCTGCTGGGCGTTAAAGCCGAATCTAATTGGATATGTGATTCAGAGCTCAGCTGGACATTCGAGTTTGTTCTCGTCACATGATCCTGTCGGTTAATGAAACTCGGAAGGAGTGCGTCTGTCAGCGCGCGCACACACACAAACACACACAAACACACACATGTTCGTTTCCTGAGACTTGCTCAATCCACAAACTTCAGTGAAAGTTAACGATTTATCTTAATGGCACTTTTTCCGTCGAGTCCCCACAACGTGAGTAATGCTCATCGCCGAAGCACACCCCGGGGCAACACAATACGACAGACGGATTGTGTCTCTGGGCGAGAGGTCAAAGGTCAGAGCGAGGCTGCGTGGGTGAGATCGCGACCTCGGGCTGTGCTCAGAACAAAGCAGGTGTTGACGGTTTGAATCCCAGCCGGGAGTCACGAGTCAAAGGTCACTTCCTCTATCGCTCTGTCGCCCTGTCGCTCCCCCGTCACGTCTTCTTCTCCTCTTTCTCTGTTTCTCTTTCATCTTCTCCTGTTTACTTCTTTTTTTCCTCATCTTAGTTTTCAGTCTCTCAGATTTCTGATTGCTGTTTTTCATTGGTCGATGTCATGTTTGCTCCAGCTAAGAAAAAGGCAGAATTTTAATGCGATCCTGTTTTGGAAAATGAGGCAAAAATCTGACTTTTGATGTGTTTTGTGGAAAAGGCTGAAAGATTCAGGATGATGTTCGCCTGTCTTGGCACGAGACTGGAAACTGGTGGAAACCAAACTGGTGGCCACATCCCCAGAGACCAGCTCCACCACCACCTCTGATTCCTGCGGCGAGCTCAGCCACAAAAGTCCCATTTTGGAATTTGCTGTTTTTTGTTAGTTTCTTGTTTTCTGGTAAAAACTCACCTGAGAAAATGAAATTCAAAGATTTTTCTGAAACAGGTCGGTGTTTGTGTGGAATGTGGAAATTCATTTTTCTATAGATTACACCTTTAAATTGAATTTTACAGTGTGTGTGTGTGTGTGTGTGTGAGTGTGTGTGTGTGTGTGTGAGAGAGAGAAATTTGTGTTAGGTTTCTGTCTGCTGCAGTGTCCTACTTTAACGTCTCCTCCCTCACTCTGCTATGAGTGTGTCTGTCTGTGTGTGTGTGTGTGTGTGAGAGAGAAAATCGGTGTGTTT